CACAGCTAGGCTTTATGAGATATCACCTATTTAGTCACTTCACACCTATGTGCTAACAAACTTTCAGCTCTTGAGTTTGTTGAGTCAGCAACACCACACTGATAAAGAAATGGGAGTTGTGGAGAAGGCATGCTGGATGCTGCTCAATGCAGGATGCTGCTCAATGAGCAAGATCCTGGCCTTTTTATTAATAGAATAATCATACATTGTCAGTTGTGTGGGGTAGGAGAAAAAGATGGGTGAAACTGAAAATGTGCTTATGTCATCTAGGGCTTCAGGGGGACATGAGTCTGCTGACCAGATAATTCTTATCTGCTTGATGACCAAGTGTTATAATTGAAACCAGACCTGAGACCCCAGCCGTGGTTCCAATCTTATCAACAAAGCATTCCACTGATCATCTTCTGGGGTCCCTTGTTATATTTCAGTCAACAGCCCCCTGGGCATTCCCATCATACCTCATGACCATTTCCACATTAGTAAGCAGAAAATTGAAATAGGTTAAGTTCTCCAGTCCATGTATCACAGAACAATGAATAAGGAACATATGATATTGCTGAAAACAGACAGCAGAAAAAGTAATCCATCAAAATGTTGTATCAGTCCTTCACAATGTTGGAATAGTTAATATCTGTTTTCATATCCTGCCAGATCTTTTTCCAAGATCTTGGTATCTATAAACTTGCGGTAATTGACATGGTTAATTTAAGGGAAACTGATTCCAAATTCCAGAGAACACTCAATGCATCTCTGTATTAATTTGTTAACTCTGTTGGTTCCAACATGGTGTTAATGAGACCAAAGACATGAATCCAATTCGCCCAACCATATGGATTTGTTCAACAGCCAGCCTGGAGGCCCCTCCAACCAGCCAACCAATAGAGAGGAGCATATGGAGCCTAGTAGGGAGGGAAAGACAAACGAGAATGGTGCATGCAGACATAAGCACCCCCAGCCCTAGAATACCGCCTGTGGCCCATTCTGTAGAAATGGGACTCTGTCACACTCCAAGAGCACATGCACCCATCTGGGACCTCTTTCCTAACTCTCCCACAGGGATGCTACACCTTTTCCTCTCTCCTTTCCAGTTCATACCTACACATACTAGGTTCCTTTGATGTTTCCTTTTCCTTCTCTTCATTAACATTTCTTAAAAATTGGAGTGCAGAACTTCATCTCCAATCTGCACTAACTCTAAATTCCCCAATCCTGCAACCATCAGCAGCAGGACTGGGCTTGTCTCGTCTGCCATTATTATTTCTGACAGCCCCAAAGAAATCACTTAATATTCATTTCGGTCTCATTTTTCAGACAGTCTTAAAAATCAATTTCAAAATTTTTCTTCTTGATCCTGTCATTTAGCACTGAAATGGCCCAAACTGATTACTTGGGAGCATTAGTGTTCTCCAGCTCCTTCCAGAATGTCAGCTTCATTTTGTGAGCCTGTTCTGGTATGATTTAAGTTGGCTTTCATTTCAGGGTTGTTGTTTTTCACTGAGAAACATGATTTTTCTTGAAGCTATATTTGTAGAACAACTTTCAATTATCCTTAAACTAAAAAAAAATTAAAAAAAAATAAAACAGTCATAAAGAATAGGCAAAACACTTTGGCGAAAAGAAAATCAGATTCAATGGATGAAAAAAGAAAAAGACTTTAAAAATTACTCTTACTCTAAAATCTTCAAGAGCTCCACTTTAAAGTCTCTACTTCACGAAAATTAGCAACATAACATTATTTTATTCATTAATAAGAAGGAGAAGTTGAAATAGCCATTCATGATAAGACCCAGAAAGCTGCAAGGAAGCCAAGAACAAGAAGAAAAAGATCTGAAAGGGAAGAAAAGGTAAAGGCAGCTTTTATAAAGAAGAAAAGAAAGTTCTTTGTCTTTGCTGCTATTCTCTGAGCAGTCTGGAGAATTCAGCTCATTGTTATTGTCCCTGCCCTTCTTCCTTGCAATTGTTTTTGCTTTTTCGGGTTGTCATTAATTTTCTAAGTAACATCATTAGAGAGCTGGAGAGGTCGAAAACCACCAGGAGGACGGGGCGGGGGAAGGTGGATGAGGGGGAACTTAACTAAGTGAAACATGTCCAGAGCCTGTGTTTTCTCTTCTAGCAAACAGAAGATGATTTTTATAGTAAGGCATGCTACAGAAATTATGTTAAAAAAAAAAAACCTCTTAACCATGCAAAAGAGTCCTCCAGCTTGATAACCGTAACTGATTTTTGCTCTAACCTCTTAAGGCTCACTCTGCTATATTTATAATTTAACCAGCTTGTTATTTATATTATTACAATATCCTAAAGGACCTCCCCCAACAATCACTCTGGCTTGAAAAAGAAAATATGCACCAAAACGAAAGGGGCAAAAAAGCCAATGGCATGAACTGCAAGATAAAAAACAATTGAATTTTTCTTATAAGATCAAAGAGTCAAAAATCATTCTTTCCGGGACTGTGCAACATCAAACATTGGGACTTAAAAGTGTCACCTCAGGAATTAACAAACACCAGAATGTGTGTCCAGCCCAAACCACTTTCTGAGGCTGAAGATAAATTGTTGGAATCCGTACACATCACAGCAAATGTAATCAAACAGGCTTTGAAAAGGTACAATGTGACTTTCCGGAGATTGTCCCCTGTATCTTTTCTACCTGCCAAATTGTGACCTCTCTCTGCAGACCAAGTGTCCTTCTAGTGCCACCAGGAGGCCACTTAGATTAAACACCATCCTCCTGACTTTTAGGATCTGATTGTATGAAGTCAGCCTGTGACTAGATTTGGACTAAAACTCACCCAACGTAACCAAGGGAAGGTGATAGTACTATTGTCTGAACATTTATCAAACATCAATATTGCATTACACTCCACCAGCAACACAAAATTAGACACGGCCCCTAACAAGGAATTCACTAATCTATCCAATGTACTGGCAACCAGACTGGGTATCTTGACAAAGAGAAGGAAAAAATAGGAACTATTTAGGTTACAGACCTTTTCTAAATAAATGAATCATCTTTGGAGAATGCAGTGGCAACTGGGAGAGACAAACCTTTAACATAGATTCCAAACTAAATCATACAATTGAGAACAGATGAACGCTGTATTCACATCAAAATTCTCCTACAAGTTCTGCCAGAGTTCGAGCAAAGCTGATAGAACAACATGCAGACATTCAAAACTAGGTTATGATTCACTTTACCAAAGGTCCATTTACTTTACAAAGAGATTTACTTTTAAATTCTTGCAGATAACATTAGCGCAATGAATGCATTTCTAATTGGATTAGAATTCTAAACATTTCAAACTAGACTCAACTGTCAGAAACAGAAAATCTCAACTACCCATGTAATTAACACATATCCCTAGGCCAACAGGCCTAGAAATAGGACCCCGGGTGGGGGAGATTCACCCTTTGTAACGATGCCATGCTTTCAGCTGGTCTTCATCTCACATTTCCTTATGAGGCACAAGCATTTGCAGAACTGTCTCTGATTGTAATAAAATAAGTGTAAATGCCAGCTCAACACAGAATCACATCACATTTTCATTAGCAGGTAACTTAAGAGGTCACCTTATTTAACCTTCCTCCAAGGTTAGAGATCCCTCAGGTACTTTCCTGATACCTCTGCTTAAGCACATCCACTGACAGGAGATGAATATCTTTCAAGGCTCCGATGTGTTCAGGATCTCAGGTGGAACAATTAACATTTACAGATGAATGAGTGAAGTTCTATAACATATGAAGAGGGAGGGGCAGTGCCAGGGCACAGGAGAAAATCCCCCCACTTCATCTGTTCATCGGATGAACATCAGACAGACCACATTCTTCTAAGTCATAAGAAGGGGCATCAGTGATTTCTTCTTCAATTAGGAAATAAAGGACAAAGGACTGAAAGCTGTTCTCAGCCTCCAGGACCTTCACTATTCTTATAATCCTCCGCATTCTTTAAAGAATGGCAATAGACTTCCTCCCAAGGTCCGGATGGACTCCTCACCCTTCAGTTCCTTGGACCAAGGTGGCAAGTCTTGGAAGAGGCCTTCCTCTGAATACATTGAGAAAAGCCACTCTCACCCTTCAGGGAGAGTGAGCCCACAGCAGCCAGGGGGAAAGAGTATTTTCCTTTTAACCATCTCCGTCTCCTGACACTTTAATTTTGAATGTTCTACATAACTTCACCCGCATTTGAATCCCTTTCACTCTATTTTCCTCAGATTTATTATCTCAGTCAGAACAATGGCAGCATCCAAAAAAAAAAAAAAATCCAAATCCTTGTGATAAATTTGGATTATAGTAGCATATCCATTCACCTAAGAAATGCTGAGAGTGTCGTGAACCCCATGGAAACACAGTGGAGAAAAGACTTTGGGTTTCATAAATGCTGTGAAATTTCAAGAATCTGGTATTGTCCCACTGGGAGTAGATCTTGGTCAACCACTCCATAGGCTAACAATGAATTCACAACTATTTGCAAAAGGCCTTTTTGCTCTAACCCTAGGCTAGTAACAAGGATGGAACCAAAAATGTAAATATCAGATGGGGTTCTTTGCCATCAAAGGTCTTCCACCAGACCATTGGGGATACAGAACTAATGCATAAGGCCAAGGAATAAATTGTTAAACCAACATTTAGTTTTTTGAATTGAAATAGAAGATGGATAACTCATGGATTTGCTAATTATACTACAGTGCCATACACATTAGCCCTGAATGGCTCATCCTCAGCTTAACCTGACTTTAGGAGTATTTCATCAAGTCCCCTCATGATTCCTAGGCATGTTTAGCGGACACCCTATCCTAAGACTGGTATCTTACAGAACACACTCTGTTTCAGTGGCTGCTCTAGCTTTTTCCCATTTTATACAAAGCAAATATGAAAGTTAAACACTTCAACACCTACCCTGTATTAGTTTCCAAAATTTCCTATGCCAGCATGGAAATAAGCTTCCAAAACCTAAAAAGCATTTTCATATAAATAGATGTTAAGCAGTTTTAAATACTTACAAACAGTTCTTTTCACACCCTGTTGCCAGTTTCTTTGTGTGTGTGGGGGGGGGGGAATAACAGGAAAAGAAAAATAGCCCAAAGTGAGCAGCAAGCAAAAGCCTGGAAGAAAACACAGGAAAGAAATAGATGTAAATGGTTTGCATGAATCCCTAGTTCTCCTTGTTCTTAAATTTTAGCTTTACAGGATTCAATTTCACACTAAACATAGCAGGGATGGTTGAGACCAAGGAGGGAGTGAGGGAATCATTTAATGTACATTCTAGAAGAAAATAACCCCAATTCTTTTTTGAGCAAATACATGTCAACATACCCTCCTCTGCAGATGAATAAAAGTATTTTTAAATAAAAAGTCACCATAATTTTTGATGCTGCAAAAATAAATCCCCCAGATAGTATAGTTTCATGAGTAAGAACCCCCCAAAGCATTTACTCTGAACGTAATAGCAAACTCTACAAAAATATTCTGGGCCTGAAATCCAATATAATATTAGACAGAAGATACAGCATATTTCATACTTTGTTTTTATGAAGACCATGGATTGGATACTAAGTGCAATCTATTGGGAATACAAAGTTAGGCTGTAGTAAATAAACATCCAAGTGTATTTTTTAAAAAATTAAAGGGTGCTGCTTGAATATGTCAGGAGTTATCAAAACTGGGAGAATCAGATAGATTTTTAAGTTGGGACTGTTAACAATAACAAACCATTTAAATCTTGATTTACAAAAATTAAAAAATAAGAAATGTTAAATAATCGCTGAAAATAACAGAGTATCATAACATCTAAAAGAACATAAAAATATATTAGATAAAAATATCTCACATGTGGATACCAGACATCACAATTAAAGATCAAAGCATCTCTTAGCAAAACTGAAGGAACTTCAAAAAAAAAAAAATTTTTTTTGAGACAGCTGTGCCCTCTGGAGGTGCACTTGGGAATTGAATAAATCTTCCCTAAACCAATAACAATGACTTTCCTAAAGAATTGAGCAGGCACTTGGAAATGCAAAGAAGGCTTAGAAGGTTTCATTCATGTTCCTTTCTTTGTGTCAAACCAGTTTTCAATGAATACTAATTTAGAATTTCAATTTAGAAGTGTTCAAATGAGCGCAAAACATTTTGGTCGAAGGGATTAAAAGCTTGTGTTCAATATCTGGAATACAATGATTAGGGACGTGCTGAATATTATGAAAAGAAAGAACGGTAGTACCAAATCAAATATCCTCACTCTCGTTTGGCACCCTGCATGGGAACATGGCCTACCCAATTCAAACCACACTGGCCAGCACTCCTGGAGCCAGCGAAGCCTCTAGACTACTAAGTAAATGCACCTCTCGGACTAATTCACCACCTGTCTCCTTTATTTTTCTTTTGACCTGTCTTTTTACACTTCATTCCTAATAAATGCAGCTAGTTTCCTAATCTAGGGAATATATTCCAGTGGGAGAAGTAAAAGATAAGTACTTCCTATCAGAGCTAGAAAATAATCAAATTGAATTTGTGTGTTTGGAATTTCAATATGCAAAATATATATAAAAGAAGACTAGAGTTAAGGGGACAGAGAAGGTGGGGGATATCGAAAGCAGAACAGTCCCAGAAGTTCTTGATGTGCAAACCAGAACAAAACCACCACTTTTAAAAAAGAGCATGAAGACATTTTCTTGACTGTAAATTTGTCTTGGATATGGCTGAATGTTGTGTCTTTTAGAAAAGTGAGTAAAGACTGAAATAATGAAGCAAGGCTGGTGCATAGGAACAGCGTAATTACTATCCCTCCATCCATGTGTAGAATACACCCAAATATCAGTGGGATGTGCCTTCAGGCAAATTCCCTGCTGTGCACTGAGAGCGCAGGCCTGTGTTGCCTATTAGGACTGGAAAAGTAGATTCTAGAATGAGGGCTACTATCGGCCACAGCTGCATCACAGGTTCCGCCCCAAAGTCCAAAAGCAACGTGAGTCCCAACCCCACAAGGGCACCAAGTTACTAGCATCTCACCCTTGCCACCTTCCTAAGGCCTCAGGTTATAAACCAAGGGGGCAATTAACTCCCCAAGTTCGCAGCTTGGCCGTGCCCATTCTTCCCAAAGCGACCTCCGCCCCGACCCCAATTCCTTGGCCTAGAAAGACACTTCTGACACTCACAGGTGATTTCCAGGGGCCACTCAGCACCCCACACGTGAAGCGAGCAGGTGAGGCCCTGCGCGGAGGTCCCTGGCCGGCAGCTCCCTGCCTGGGCGCGCACTCGCTCCCGCTCGCGCGCCTGCCGCGGCCCCGAGCCACCGACAGGGGGCGCCCGGGGCGGGTCTCACGGGCAGAGCTCTCCAAGGCTCCTGTGGCCAGGTGCCTGCAGATTGCCCTCAGCTGGTCAGGTGCCGCGACCCAGGAGGTCCAGGGAGCCCGCAGTGTGAGCTGATGGGTAAGAGAGTCTGACCACTAGACACAGCGCATGAGTTTCTGAAGCTCTCTGTGCTGTGGGTTCCTCACCTAAGAAAATGGTGATGACACGGATCTATCTAAGCCACAGTAATCGGTAATAATCATTCATTCATTCACACGCTCACTCAGACCAGATGTGCCGTGACCTGTTTCTCCTTCAATCCGGAAGGCATTCGTGTTGAGCTACCAAAGAGAATCACTACCTGGCTTCCATGCTTTGAGAAACAGGTGTGCAGCCTTCTGGCCAAATTTCTGGGAATTCATGTTGATGGAGTTTTCATTGTATCCTGGGGGATGGGGAAGGGATGGGGGAGGGCTGCAACTTTCTTTAAGTTCTAGGTGACTGAGTCAGGAAAGAAGATGGATGCAGATTTCCACAGAAAGTAAGAGTCCCTGAAATATTTTGAAGATATGAGAAAGGTTGGTATCTTTCAAAGTGCTTAGTTATTTTGTAGTGTAAATAATTTCTTTGGGATGATTTCCATGGATGTTTGTCCCTGACCTGTTTTTCTGAACTATGAAGCATGAATATTTGGGCTAAGGAATACTTTCTTTTGCTAAAGAGTTAACTAATACCGTGGACAGTAAAAAATTTCAAAATTATAACTTCAGGTCCCTGCCATGTACCAAATACTGTAGAGGCACTGGGTGTAGGGTGAGGGAAAATGTCAGGCTTTTCTGCCCTCCCGCCATCAGGATAGATGATGGATCCTTGCAGTCCTGAGTGCATGCCTGATGGCGGGCACCTGGAGTAGGGTGTGGGCATAGGTAGATGGGATTCACCTGGGCTGAGACTGGGCTTTTAAGGGTGGCGTCATGGGGACGCCAGTAGAAGCTGAGCACCAGTAGAAGCCGAGCAGAAGCTGAGAGAAGGCCGGAGAGCCCACAGAGTGAAGACCTGCTGGGGGCTGGGAGGCCTGCCAGCCTCCCGGACCCCCAGCACCTCTGCCTGCCATATGCCTGGTGAACCCCAATAAAAGACCTGTAAAACCACTGAGGACTCTGGCTCCTCCTTTACCCGGTCTGCTGGATCAGAAAACCTGCACTGTGTCCGTTCCTGCCTTTACACTGGGGATAACCTGACAATCCAATTGGGCCCAATCTCTGCCTTCCTGGTGTGCATATTTGAATAGGAGTGACTTGGGTATGAGCAAGATCATACAAGCAGACCTGTTAGCCCACTCCTGGCAGGCGCCCAGCCTTCAGAAAGTGGTGCTTATTCTCAGGTGCCTCTGTCCACACCAATATCCTCCTCCTGCCAACAGCACAGTGCATTGATGCATTCCTGGACCCCACCCCCCACCCCAGCTCATCCCACTCCCTACACAAAGCATAGTCTTCTTTATATTAATAACTCAGTAGGAATTTGATAAATGATTGAATGAACCGTGTCCTGAATCCCTAGAAGAGGTGCAAGTTCCAGAAGGAAGACAACCCAGCCTCTCCTGATGGAAATGCCTCTGGCGCTGTCATGGAATCTTCAGACTACACTTCTTTCTGAGAAAAATCTTGCATCTTTGAAGAACTGACCACTTTCCCAAGAGAAAAGTCCACTAAAGAGGGTTGGGAGCAGCTTGGGGATATCCCTCTAGCCCAGATCCTCCTCATTAAAAACTTCTAATCACACTTTGGGAGTTAACTAGTTTCTATCCATTTTGTGACAATATTTGGGGTTCCCCAAAAAGCTTTTGCCTCACAGTTCCCCCTGGAAGGAACTGATCAATGATGGTAACTTACATCAGTGAAGGACTCTTGGAGGATGTCACCAAAATGTAACCACGCTGGACCCTCCAGTTAGACCTGGGCAATTGGGACTCCTCACTCCCTTCCCTGGGGGCATTTCAATTGCCCTCCCAAACTAGAAGCCCTAGAGATACAACCTTGAGACTGTAATAGTTGTAGAAACCATCTGAATGATGTATAAGAGTGACTAAGCCAGTTAAGGTCTCTAATAAACTGAAGAATCTGGCAGGTGGGTACAGATCTCAAGACAAGCCTCCTAAGTAAGTCCCCACTTGCTGAAACTGCCACCTCTAATCTGGAGTGACTGGCCTCTTTCCTCTGTTCTCCCTGCCCTCCATATACAGGGGTCAGTTTGCAAACCAACAGAATAACATCTGTGTAAAAACAAACCTTGGATAAATAGAAATGCTTGTCTCACCTCTTGGGGTTTTTTTAAGTTGTTTTGTGATTTTCAACTTTTAAAACAATATCTGAACAAGAGTTGGGTCTGTTTGTTTCCTGCCAAGCTCCACTGAGACTGTTTTTTTTTTTTCCTTTATATGAATTTCAGGAAGATGTGTTAATCTTCCATTGCTATGGAACAAACTACCACAAACTTAGAGGCTTAAAGCAACATACATTTCTCATCTCACAGTTTCCATGAGTTGGGCATCTGAATGCTTGGTTCTCTTCTCGATGTCACACAGATGAACTAAAGGTGTCGACTGCCTGCATCCTCATCTGGAGGTTCCACCAGGGAAATATCCACTCCCAACTTCTGACAATAATAATGCCCACATTATTATCAGAAATTCTCTTCCTTGTGGTTATAAGACCGAGGTCTCCAAAGTCTTGCTAGCTATTGGCCAAGGACCCCAGTCAGCTCTGGGTTTTGCCACATGGTTCCCTCCAGAAACCCTCTCATATTG